TGCTCTCGATGATATAATTTCTATATGGGTCGAATTTGATTGGTCGTCGTATATGTGAATAGAGATCTGTCCATAGATAAATAAGCATAAATAGATCGCTATCTCGGGCCATTTGACGTTACACTCATTTTAATTTACGAATAGATCACTACATGGCAGCACATGTAAATATGTACGTAAATTAACACCTGGTATTACTTCTACATTTGTACATAAAATCAATACAGCCCAAAAATCTGAAAAAAATTATTATTTGAAATAAGAACAAAACATACAGACATACTTTTGAAGAATTATAAACTAAACAGAAATAACTGACTACTATTAATTAAAGTATATTACAGACATATTTTTAAAGTACTTATTCTATTAATATTCTAGAAATAACTTATTTATATTAATTACTGAATGACTAATAATAATATATTAAAAACTTAAAAACTAAGAAGTAAAAAGCGCAGGAGTATTGATGATGGAATGACAAATTTAGAAGGAATGACAAGTAATGCAATAATTTAAAAGGATAAAAAGAACAGCACATTTTTAAAAAAGAATGAATACTTTCCAAACAAAATAATCCTAAAAACAAAATATATATACATATTGATATCCAAATTGAGATAAAACTAAATTCCTAGGATTAAAATTCATTTATGAGACATTCTTGTTTGTTATCTCTCCATTTAATAGTTATTTTGCTATATAATCAATCATTAATAAAGTTATATTTGACGAAATCTTTGAATAGTTTCTGTATGTGTTTTTTTAAACGTAAGTAACCAAAGCCCTGAACTACTTTTAATTTATACCAATTGTAGCTCAAATCTATCTATCGTTTTAATCCAGTTTTTATTGCAAGGAGGTTTAATTAAAACTATAACTGAACCCTAGCGCTTTATAAACTGTCTGGTCTTTGAGTATGCTCTCTTAATTGAGACATTATCAAAATTCTTGCCCTTACATTTTAAGTTTCCGGAATATTTGAAAACTTCTCAGAACATTGTATACTCTGTTGGAATTTAACCTTTAAATTATTGCATTTTAATCCCGAAACAAAATTTGATGTATCATACATCTTCTGGGTGTTAAGGCACTCCTACGCCTTATCATTGCATTCTGCGGCAATTTGCAGCTAATATCAGGGACTTCTATTGAATATATTGTTATCATATTAATTGATTGAAGATATTGTAATTATCATATTAAATATTTTTGCTGCAATTAGTATGAAAAAGTACCTTTTCGGAAAACTGGTGTCAGAATTGGTGACTTTTAACCTGTACTTCACAATCTTAGAGGTGCTGCAAAAATCTTTTTCAAGGTGTTTAGGCTTCCATCTCCTAAGAACATAAGATTCATTTATTAATATTTTTTTGCAAATGTTATTGAAGTATTTAGAGTTATAATTACTTGACTTTGTCCTTGGAGTTGCAGATTTTTCTTCTGGTTTTGTATCAGAGCATTCTCCAGTGACTTGAAAACTATTCTGTTATTGCCGTAAAGGAGATACTTCTATTTGGTTTTGATTTCAAATTATCGTTGATTTGTGCCACAAACCGAAGAGTTAGGTCATCCATTAAAAGATTATTTGCCCTCTGCATCCAAATTGAAAGCATCTTTTTACACACAAATATGTATAATATATATTTACATATATATATATATATATATATATATATATATATATATATAACATTTTAATAGTACTTTCATGATACATATTCATTATATGCATAATACATCATTATGTACATACCTGATAATTAGATGCCGGAAAGACATGCATTTTTTTATTATATTTGGGGTTATAACAATTTGGCACATAACACTTCATCATTTTAACTTAATAATAAATGAAAACAGTATTCACAAAAACATAATTATATATAAACAATCACAGAAAATCTTAACTACAATACGCGATGACAACTTGACAACTTATAGAAAATGGCCGATCAAATCAATGTAGATCAAGCCAGCTGCTAAATGAATGAAATTGGGAATCGTAGCGCCATCCTTCGAACTATTCAAATACCAATCCATTTCAAAACACGGTAATCTACATTTGTTCGGAGATTACCGGCCATGGATCTGTCGTTGTATGCGTATCGGCATCAACGTTGTATGCGTGCCGATATCAACAAGGAAATCGGCATAGATAATTAAGCATAAAGTAAGGTTAGGTACATTGTTACTAAAAAAGCAATTGTTTTTATCACTTAAATGGTAATGTAACTAGGATAATATTTATTTAAACCAATTTCCAACTGCCATAGATGAAAACTATAACATTTGTTTACTTAAAACTATGAAAACATAACTTTTAGTAGCAACTTTTTAATTTCTGGTACTTCAGTCAGATCGGTTGACTGTAAACAATGAACCCAAATTTTGGGGTACTCTGTGACAGGACAAGGGGGTACTAGGTTACAACATCAATATTGTCAAATAAAACACAATAATATGAGAAACATTTAACGAATATTCAATTTCTTATAAAATGTCTTATAAGAATCTAACTGACGTTTGGATTTTATCTTGACAAGAGCAACCGTCGTTGATGTTTGACGTTTACGGTCGCCATTTCCTGTTCGACATGATTGTCAATATGGTAATTTTATTTAACATTTTCACTATATTTTCTTTAAAAAATTGATACGAATAAGTTTTTTCGAAAAATGGATGTAATAAGGTTTCTTTGCAAAATAGTGTACCACGTAACACAAGTCGAAAATCGTCAGATTAAATGAGTCATGTTAGGTTAGGTTTACCCAAAATTTTTTAAAGATAATTTGAAGATAATAATACAAGGATCAAATAAAAACCATAACTACTTACCAATTTATAGCATAAGAAGATCCATCAGGCTGTTTTCTATATTTGATCACACACAAATTGCATTATTATTTGTTCGTTACACTTTTGCAATGATAACTGTTTAGTGATGGACGCTTTCAAATGAGTCATGTTAGGTTAGGTTCACACAAAAAATTTTGAATTATTATTTGTATCCAATAATACAAGAGACAAATAAAAACCACTCCTGTACATATTACAAAAAAGATTCATCAGGCTTTTTTCTACGTTTTATCACACACAATTTTTTATATTTGTTATTTACACTTTTGCAATAATAACTGTAATGGCGGACAGGATCTTTGCATTGTGACAGTTAGCCTCATGTAGCAAGAACAACCTTTTATAAATTTTATATTTAAATGTAAAATATCACTAAATGATAAAAGTTACACAAAACATTTTGTTTAAAAAGACATCGGAGCACTTTGAAAAACAGTTTTTGAAATTTTTATTGAATTTAGCACCATTTATATGCTTCTTTTATCTATGTTTAGGACGTTTTGATATAAATTGCAAGTTCACAATGAACTAAATGCCTAATTTTGACATTTATCATTTTAATGAAGCTAAGTTCAAGTTGGTTGGTCGTGTATAAACAAAGTACATTTTTATTAAAGTGTAAACAAACATATTAATATAAATAAATAATTTTGAAATTAATTTCTAATCAGGTTCTTGTGTGCATTTTATGTGATCTACGAGTACTTAAAAATGAATAAATAATAATAGTAAATAAATAAATATTAAAAAAGCGTTAAGTTTGACAGCCATAAAGAGGACGCCAAAAACTATCTGAACATCTAAATTTATAGTAAGTAAATTGCACAAGATATATTGTTGGCGCTCAATAATGAATTTATTATTATTTATTTATTAATAAATACTAGCACTTAACAATAAATAAATTAATAATAATAGTAAACTAGTTGGTATTGGTATTTTGCCTTGATGCAAGTTACATGAACTTCCTGATATGTGTAAATAATCGACTTAATCAATGAAAAATAAATTAATTAATGAGTGATTAAATGTATTTCAAGTGGATTTATTACACATAATAGAAAACGATCGAACACCTCTATCGTTATACCAAGTAAATCGTCTAATTTTACTTTTAACAAACGTCAAAAAAACTACTCATATTCTCAAATTTTGTTAAATTTTTAAAATTAAACTACTTGTCGTAAGGCCGTAATATTTCGCAGTAAGTTCTATAAGACCATGATACATAACGACAAAAAGTTCCATAAAAATCGTATTAAATTTTTAACAGTTAATTACAAGAAAACGGCTCGGTAGATTTTCACTTAAAACTAATCATTATCATTCCCAACTAATATCTTTCGGAAAGTTTCTGATTTTCAAAATCGATTCGGTAGTGTGAGCTTAAACATTGACGAAAAGTTGAACACTTTTTTCAAATTACAAAGAAACGGCTTGGCATATCGTCGCTCAAAACTGACAAACGACAGTCCTCATTGAGTTTCATCAAATGGCTTTTAAATTTTTGAAATCGGTTCAGGCGTTTTTGAGCAAAGGTCTAAATTTGACAAATGCCAAAAAACGATACCAATTTTTGCAAACTTTGAAGAATTTTTAAAATTAAACGATTTTTCTTTGGACCGTAATATTTTAGTATGATCTATAAGACTATGGTATCTATCGTCAAAAAAAATTCATAAAAATTGTCAATTTTTTTTTTATACTTTATTACCCGGCCGATCTTTTCCAATAACTAATCAGGTCGATTTCCAACTAATATCTATCGAACGGTTTTTGAATTTTCAAAATTTATTGAGAATTGCGGGCTAAAACGTGGACGAAAATTTTTCACTTTTCTGCTATAATCTATAAATATATCTAAATTCCTGGAATATGAGATTTTCTTCAGAAACTATAAAAAAAGGAACAAAAAAAAAATATACACTTTTATACACATTTTTAATTATGTATTCGAAACTTTAATGAATTCACTTTTTTTTAATTTTAATTTTTGAGACCATTTTTTTAATTAACACTCACCATTAAAAATTAATTATTTATTGTAGGTATTCACGGTGAAAATTCAATTTTTTTTTCTTATAGTTGTGTGATATCGGTAACCTTATATCTGTACATGTGTTACTATTAACATTGATAGAATCATTTAGTAGTTCCTCAAATTTTTTAAAATATCCTTTTGTAGTATACTTTTATTTTTACAGAACAAAAATGCACGAACTACCACCACTGGCTGCTTTATCAAGCAAAACTATATGCAAACCACTGAAAACAACACCAAATCTGGCAACGACGTTAAAAATAATAAATAATTTGGACAAAGGTGAAAATGTTGCACAAACAGCTAATATGTGTAAAACCGAACCAGCCATTGTACGAGAAATAAAATCCAAGAGCGATGATATTAAAACGAAAATGATGGCTGTAGGTCCTGAAAATGTTAAAGTAGTTAAATTATCTCTAGAACCTATTATAAATCAGATGGAAAGCATTTTGATGGAATGGATTACTAAGAATAAAAATGATGTTGAACTAGAGTAAGTTATAACAAATGCAAAGAGTTAACTTAAATTCTAATTAAGTAGTTAACTTAAATTCTAATTTTAAGTCTCGATGGGTTCCTCCATTCAAGTATAATCGAGATTGGTATTCATTGACCTTTTTGCAACCAAAACCCTTATTTAAAATTCTTGTACATTTTTCTTTATAACCAGGAATTAGTTCCTGAAGGGTATTTGGCCAAGATTTGCTTTATTATTAGAAAAAAATATTAGTATACATAATAGTATATACTGTATATACATTAACAGAGTTGACTATAAGTCATTTCAATCTATAAACATAACATTAAACTGATAAATTAATATATATATATATATATATATATATATATATATATATTGATTTTGTCTTGGTATAAATTTGTTCGAATAACATTCAATAAAGTTTATTCGAAGCAAAATTATCAAATCTATGTAAAGCGATGGGTTATTGTAAGAGGTTTTTCAAACAAATATTGTGCAATAGTTTTTCAAATTACTTCTTCACTAATATATTCGATTTATGTTTTATTAATCTGTTAATACAAGAAAAGCATTAATTAATTATGATGATAAATGTAAATTTCAATATGTTACCCAGTTGTAAGCCTTTTCGATAGTTCAACAATAATTTGTGAACACCTTATGTTTTATTATTTGAGTTGATATAACAAAACTTTTAAGCATCATGTTTATTGTGAGAAGCCATTATTCCAAAAATTATAAAGCTAATTCAATTTCTTAAAAATATCTTCTTTGAATGTATATTTTAATAATCTTTGTAGTACAGAATGCTGATTGGGATGAATTATATAAATTAGTGTTCATTTCTGTGCATCATGTTGTCTTATAGAAAAGTATTATTGAAAATTTACAGTGACTGTTGGTGTAATTTTACTTTAATATATATTTAATCATTTTACAAACTGCAAATAAAATAAGTCATAAGAACATAGTCAATTTATTTATTCCTGACCTATCGATCAATATGATACTTTATAAATCAATAATTTTTAATAGACCAGAGTTTTGAATCAAAATCTAAATTTGAAAGTTCCGTATAAATAAATAAAATATGTATATATATATATATATATATATATATATATCTATATCTTGAGGATCTTTTGTTCGACGTTGAAACATATTGAAATGAATAAAACAGCCAATATGTCGAATGTAAAGAATTTATTTTAATTTTTTATACGTTTTGAGACTAGATGTGTCTCATCATTCAGCTAAAAGAGCTTCAGCTAAAAAAGCTTCTTTTAGCTGAATGATGAGACACATCTAGTCTAGAAACGTATAAAAAATTAAAATAAATTCTTTACATTCGACGCATTGGCTGTTTTATTCATTTCAATATATATATATATATATATATATATATATATATATATATATATAGTTTTCTTTATAGGTGGCTTAAGTTCAGATTTTGATTTATATATACATATATAATTTTTAAAATTCAGACAGAAATTTATTTTTTTATATACTAGGGTCTATTTGCAACTCACAGTTTTTACTGATTTTCTATTTATCTTCTAGGTATTCGACCATTAGATCAAAGGCTTTAGAAATTGTTGAAGATCTTGCAAAAAATAATGAGCGAAAAATAGGAAATGTTTCTGTTTATCTTCAGAGTTATAACTTCAATGCTAGCAGAGCTTGGTATGAACGATTTCTTAAATGTCACAATTTACAGAAAAAATCTAGAAAAGAATGCATAATAATGAGGGAAAAAAACGTCAAAGGTAAATTTATCTTTATTAAGTAATTGTTTTAAATGATGAAACCATCAGTTTTCAAGAGTAACGGTTAAATATTATTTTATTATTGATTAGAACTAATGTGGTATTTTACTTTGATTTTCATCAAATGCATGGAAGCTTCAACTATGAATATTTAATTTATATTAAATTACATTTAACAACTCTCTTATTGCTCGAACTACTCTTATTTATTAGATGCTTCCAGGTGCTAATTAATTTAATATTTTTTTCTTTATATTAACTTAAGTTAAATATAAAGTAATGTAAATCTTTTCTAAAGTGAATACCAAATAAATATTGAATAACACTTAATATATTTTTTGATAGACACACTTGGATGAATATGAGATTTCTTCTTATTACTTTTTTGAGAAATTTCATATTCATCCAAGTGCTTTCATCAAAAGCTATCAAATGTTCTTCAATATTCATTTAATATTCATTTTAGAAAAGGTTTACATTTGATACATTCACTGATTTATTTAAAGATTTTTTAACAAATCTTTTAATGTTTATTAAATACCTAGAGATAATACTTTTCAACTCATTTATTCAATAAACAATTACAAAATTGTAAATTTTGATTCTTATTGCTCCAGCGATGCCCAGCATTGTATTCACTTTTTGTTTTTGTCGTTTTTGGTATCATAAAGGTTAAAACTATATGTTAAAGCATATTGATGCAAATCAAATTTTAATCGAAATTAAAATATTTTACCATGTAGACTTTCGGTTAAATTATTAATACATACTTGTTTTTGATTAAAGATTGTAAAATAAATTTAATTCACCGTCATAATTTGCTAGTGATTACTTCAAATTTACTAAATCTTCATTAAGATTTTTCTTAATTTTTTGCACCTTGTGCTTACATTTCAAGACTATTATAAAATTCTTGAATATTCTTTTCTATTCTTACTATATAGTAAGCAGAGCAGATCTCCCGTTCTATTTATAATATTTAATTTTTATGTAATTATGTAAGTAAATTTTAGTTTATTATGCATAATAAAACGCATAATAAAATGCATAAATCTGCAAATTAATAATAATAACTATCAGGGAATATTTCACGGTCGGAAGATGTGTCTTTGAACATATCTTATAGTTTGCAACGTATGTCTCATATATTTTCTTGATTTATCGAACATCCAGATTCAATATACTGGTCTTCAGCTCTGACTGCCTGATGTCAAGCAGTAATGACATCGATTTTCACTTGGAAATACAGATAGCAATATGTTTCCAACTAAAAATTGCTCTTACCCGGCGTTGCTGCATCGATAAAAAAATCAACGTTATCAGAAAAATTATTCAAAAAAAGTTCATCACATAGAGATAGGGCAACCGTTTGGGTTGCTTTCTATAAAGCGTCGTCAAAAGAAGTCAGGCACTACTTTTAGGACTCGTTAAGTTCTGATTTCTGTTACTTACATACCAAAAATATATTTTTTCTAAAATTTCATTTATAATTTTTAATTCGAACTTTAAATAATCTTTCTGCTAGATGAATGAGATCGTTCAAAATCACTATATGTAAAGAACTGTATTCGCCGGATATATTAAACATAATAAAGTTGTCCTGTAATATAAATTAACAGTGACAATAAATATTATTATTATGGTTCCCATAAACAATAATGCCTTTGTTTTGATCTTGAAATTATTATTTGATAACGCTTCCACGAATGGTTTCTGATTATATTTGGGGATTTGAATCGACAAAGTGTATTCTAGGAACACACATTCTTGAGAATGGGTATCAAATTTTTAGTCCATTATATCATACTTACAAATAATATTGGTTTATTTTAAGAAACCTAGTAAAAGAAAGCCTTCAATTGAAATATTCTCAGAATTCATTTTCAAATCATTCAAGTTTTTTATAGTACAATTTTAATTAGAATTAAAAATTCAAATAAGCCTGGGTCAGGAAATAATAAATAGAGACCACTTCCTAATACTTTTGGTATAAACTTTTTTTTTGCATACTACAAGTAAGTTTACTTCGGTCTACTTTTTGTAAAAAATTCTAATATTCTATACACTATAAATCTTTTTCTTGATTATGCACTCATCATGTAAATTTTTATTAAATTATGATCATTGCATTTTGGGAGACGGGATACGGTGGTGCCACTTTTCTTATCAGAAATAATTTTGTTAATTTGCTAGTTAGCTAGTAGAAAAGTGAACTGAAACTAGCGGTGCATGGCATCGTGTCTTAAGGCAAATTGCTGGAACTTCCCGTAGTTCCCGTAGGACGCTTAAGTACCATTAGTCATAGAATAAAATTAAACAAGAAAAGAGCGAGTCCACAAAACACTTACTTTTGATTCTTTAAAAGCAATTCGGTGTACAGATTATTTTAATGTAGAGCGCTGACTTAATGCAATAATTTAAACTTGTTCGAACAAACATACTTTATCTTTCTCCCTTTGGACCCTATCTCAAAATTAGTATAGTTTAGCTGTTATGACACTGTCCCAACCGTAACCTGGCACAACCTTACCCAGTCTCCCCTACTAGTGCAGTAAACGGAGCGTTTTAGGTCTGAATTTTTTACTGTGCTCCGAATCGAATGAAATTTTGGAATTAGGTTCATCTTACCCTCAAGTTCAAAAGTGAAAACAATTCGGGTTGCGCCATCACTCCCCGGGGGGATGACACCCCTTCTCCATTTTGTAATTGTATTTTTTCAAAATAACGAAATGCTTCTTATTTGCATGATAGCTCACTCATTTTACACGCAAAAAACTTGTAACAGCACTCATTTTAAAGCTTATGTTGAGCCCTGTAAAACCCAATTTCACCGAAATGCATAAAATGTAAAACCTCGACACTAGATGGCTTTAAATACAACAATTAATTTTTGAACGAAATAAAAAGCAACTTTACTCTTTCAAATCTTGCTTAATATTTTTCCTAGAACACTTTATGTAACACCGATTTATTAAGATTTTTATTGACATTATTTTGTTCATTACATGATTTTCGTTAAAATGTATATTTTAGGAGATTTTGCAAAAAAACGAAGAAAAACGCCAAAAATATATGAATCTTTAGTGGCCAGTAACTTGAAAAGTATTAGTTTTTTTGAAAAACTATAAAAGACATTTTTTTCTTATAATTAGTTCTTCTATCGATTTCCGACGTTATTTTGAAAAAATGTAATTACACAATTGAGAAGGGGTGTCATCCCCCCGGGGGATGATGGCGCAACCCGAATTGTTTTTACTTTTGAACTTGAGAATTTCATTCAATTCGGAGCACAGTAAAAAAATTCAGAAGTTATACCCTTTTTTCCTCTCCGTTTACTGCACTCTACTAATAAATGTGGCACCTAATTTTCTGCAACGACACTTATTTCAAGATTATTTTAGTTTAAATCCAAAAGATATAGATATATCCAAAATGCAAGAAGGCATAATATATATTTTATTTACAAATCGTGCTGTTTTAGTATCATATAGAATTTCAAGAAGATCATCACATCTTCAGAATTATCTTTAGTTATATTCAGAATGCAAGACAGCAAACAATGTACATATTATTTTGTTTAAATTTTTCAAAACTCTATCATGCACGGACGCCCAATTAATGGATTGGCATCCAATTTAAATATTCTAACAATAAGTTCTTCCGAAAAAATTGCTGATATTTCGTGATGGCACAATTATTAATAAAGAAAAAAATATCAAAATAAAATATAGTCGAATGATACTTCTGCACATTATACTTCTGCATATAAACATTTATAATAACTTCATTAGATAATATAAAATACTTAATGATATTTAATATAATATATTTACTTCTCAGTAAATATAATTATTTTTAATTGACAAAGATTTTTAATCAATGTTATTTTTAATTATTACGTATAGTTGTACTATTGTGCTAGATCATGGTAAACAATATACGCATAAATCTTGGGTCGTAAAAAATAGTAGTGCGCTGGTAAGCATTTTATAACTCATTTTTATATGTCTGTTGAATAGAGTCGAAAGAAAAAACTGAACCATTATTTATTATGTGCATTGGAATTGTACCATAACTTGTCTTGTCCCAATTCACTGCTCTTTATAAGTGTTCTGAAGTAGTAACTTTGGTTTTAGCAAAGATAATTCACTATATTTTTTCATGCAACTTATTAAACATGTTTTAAAAGCTGATATAGCAAAAATTGCTAGTGATAAACTCTTGATTTTATGTAGTAGAGAAGATATGCTGACTGCGTCTAAATCCAAAATTTGGTTTAAAAAATATAGATCTGGCCTAAACTGATAAAGTTATTAACCAAAATTCTAATAACAACGCAAGAGTATAATTTAAGTTTGATTTCTAGTTTATAAAAATTTCACATGACTCTTGATCCTTTAACTTTTTCTAAAGCTATAAGTTGAATGTTTTTCTAAATATTCCAAAAACGATCTGTGAATTAAACTTAGCTTTTGGTCGTTTAATTCGATAAAATTAGTGTGAACGTTAGTAATTAACTATTAAAATTATTTAAATAAGTAATTGCAAAAAAATCTAAAATGAAAATTTTTATATATCTTTATATTTCAAAGGTTTTTGAATAATTTGGCATACCTTAGAAAAAAATGGATGTATGCGTGTGTGTGTGTGTGTATGTGCGTATGTGAATGTGTTTATGTGTGTGTGCGGAAACAAATTTTTGTCGACGATTTCGGGAACACCGATCAACCGATTTGAATAATTCAAAAAACATTCGATTTGTATTGATAGGGAGACGTGCTGATTAGTTTTTGGCGAAGGCAGTTCTAGTCTTTCCGAAGATACGGGACAAAATGTGCCAAAAACGGTAACTCAGTTTTTAAGAGAACGGAACTGGTCCGATTTTAATAATTCAAAAAACATTTTACTTGTACTGACAAGATGAAGAAATGATTCAATTTTTGGGAAGGCAGGTCTAGCGGTTATGGACTCTCAATAAAAACTAGTTAAAACTGTCATTT